TTGCTGACGAAGCAGAGGAACAAACTACGGATCATCATAGAGCGGGGAGATTTGCGTCTGCTACTGACCAATCCGAAACCTGATGTTGATAAGTTGGTTTCGTCTCACCAGGACCATCCTTCCAGTTAGAGCAGTGTCAATGACATATTTATATATATTATTATATGCTTACTCCATAGTTTACCCTTTCATGATACCTAAATGTGTATTTTCTTTTTTGTTTGTTTTGGTTTTATTTTTGTTTTAGCAAAATACTCACTTGTTTAATAGAGTTTGTTATGTGCATGTGCTGCCACTGCTGATGTAACTGGTGTTAATGATGATGATGATAATGTTAATGATGACCATGATGATGATGATGATGATGATGATGATGATGACGATTATGACTACGATGATGATTACAGAATAAGATCCATGCATAGATCTACTTTTTCTTTCTTGTGGTTTCTCACATTTGAACAACGTAATATACACGTATTTTTATGTTCTCGGTGGAGATATTTGATATACAAATCATAGGGCCACTTTATAGCACAAACACTGACAAACATACCCCTCCAGCCCCCCCTCCCCCCCCTACACACACATTTGCAAACACCCCTTGTGCGTGTTTTTGTGTGTAAGATATTTGATATATATATATACAAATAACAGGTCACTTTATTGCAGCACGTTAATGGGAGAAAACATTTCATAAGTGTGAGTGAAAAAGGGGCCGGTGATTGAAAAAAAGTTTGAAAACCACTGATTTAAATATCATGCCTATAACTCGCCGTCGTCCATGCAGATCTATACTACTAATTGTTAGGCCAATGACAGCGAACAGTAGCACACAGCTGCGTCTACTAACCGGCTACATGACGCCTTGTGTCACGGCTGTGCGCGGAAGCGTCATGCTCGAACCGGCTTAGTGCAGAGAACCGGCCACTATGTTCACTATGTGCGTGCTAGACTGCACTGTACTTGTGTTCATCTGTCCATGCTGTTTTAAGCACAAAAATATTCTGAAATTATGCAAACTGAGCCCCAAAAATGTGAAATTAGGCGATTCTGTTAATTTTAACAAAGAATGATAAAGGAAAATAATCAGAATTTAAGCAAAAAATTATTAAATTTTGCTAAATTATGCGGGGAGCATAACACTCCAGGGATAGGTTCATCATGTACAATACGTCTTCCCCCCCCCCCCCAAAAAAAACCCAACCCCCCAACAAAATACCAAACCAAAACACACATAAAACCCAAAACAAAAACAAAACCACGAAACAGTCAAAGGCAAAACAGTAACTATTACTTTTAGGCTAATTCATCCAAATTTTTACTCAATAATTCAGTACATGCTTGGAAAATGTAATAAACTATACACATTATTCATGAATAAAATGATTTATTATCAGAGAAACAAGCACCTATATATATATATATATATATATATATATATATATATATATATATATATATATATATATATATATGGGTGCTACGTTAGCTCAGTTGTACCACTCGTTAGCTTAGTTGGCACATGTATTGCGCTGGACTACATTGCAGACGGTCCTGGTTCAAATCCACTACAATGAATGCCAGATGTTTTGTGGGGTTTCGAGTACATACATGTACCTCCACCTATCTGGCTCTGTCCTAGTCCTATCAGAGAAGAACATTAAATTTGGAGATCCTACCTCTCAAACAATCTAACAGTGTCGAAGGGGTGTTAAAACCCACAAAGTGCCTATGTGGCACGACGCGGTGGAATCAGGCTCTCGTCAATTTTTGGGCATACAGAGTTGATGGTTGTGTATCATCTTAAGGAATGCCCATTCTCCTTGTTTTGGGTGAAAATATCCATCTATGTAGAATAGAAGTCGAGACATGTGTGATTGAATGAGGTGAGGGTCATTTGGTTTCAGAGGTAAAATTAGCGAGAAAATGGCCGCCAAAGTTGAGTTATTTCTTTAGTTTGAGAGTCGGTGGAAACTGAAAATTTACATTTCTTCAGCCTTTAATCAACGTTTTTCTGTAAAATTCACACAGAAATGTGCTCTTTAATGTGCATGAAAAGTGTTGAACCCCCCAAAAAAAATTCAATCAAAATTTGAATGAGAAAAGGTCAATTTCTTGACTTTCATTATTTAGACGAGCGCCTGAATTCACCAAGCTATCTCACATATTATTTATTATAAATACAGATACAAAGTATAAGCAACTATATATGGCAGCTGTGTTAGCTCAGTTTTACAACTCATTAGCTCAGTTGGCACATGTATTGTGCTGGACTACAGAGCAGACGGTCCTGGTTCAAATCCCCAACAAAGAACGCAAGGCATTTTGTGGAGTTTCAAGTACACGTATCTCCAGTTATCTAGCTCTTCATTTGTTTTTGTTTTAGTAAGAGTTTTACGGCACTTGTAACACAATAAGGTCATACAAGCGCCGAAGATTAGAGGTGCCATAAGAGAGTAACAAACACAAAAACAAAGGAGGGGAGATAAAGACGACAGATGTTTGATAGGAAAGAAGAAGTAAACCACACCAGAGCACCCGCCAACCACCCACCCATCTGGCTCTGTCCTATCGGAGAAGAACATTAAATTTGGAGGTCCTACCTCTCAAATATTTTAACAGTGTTGAAGGCGTGTTAAAATGCACACACAAATATAACTTAATAAAAAGCATGTACATACATGCAAGCGTGCACGCAGAAACACACAAAGCACACACACGCAGGTACACACACATACATAAACATACACAATGTATGACAAAAAAAGCAAATGCACACAGGTACACACACACACACACACATGCACAAACACACACACACACACACAAACACACACATACATTTACAACACATAAACATGAATAAATAATGTATTATAAATGCATTCAGAAACACACAGACATGAATATATTATATATAGTATTACATGTAGTAATAGTATATTCACAAAAATTCATAAACACAGTAGGGGGCTCTTGTGGCCTAGAGGTTTATAAAAGGTGTTGGCCTCTCATCCAAAGGTCCGAGGTTCGAATCCGCTTAGCGACCGAAAAATGTTCTTCTCTAAAATTGTCTCCTTTCACATCCTTTCCAGCTCTCTAGCAATATTCTGTTGTTGGCTTTCGTCTCCTCTTTCTGCCCCTCACCCCCTCACCTCCTTTGCCCCCTCCTCAGGGCTCCTGACTCTTTCTGCAGCCTTTCTACTGCTACTCCTTGGCTCCTTCTTACTGCTGTCTTTCAGCTACACCCCTGATCTTCTGGTAGGAAAGATCTACACTTGGCCTTCTCGGACAAGGGTAAAAAATCTAGGAGGGCCCAAGTTGCGCACAGTAAAGATCTCTTGGTGGTCCAAAATCGATAAGAGTAGGCTTCGGCTGCCATCCAGGCAAAATTAAGAATTTCCTATCAACTGAAAAAGTTGAATGTGTCCCGCGCGATGAACTTATAATGCAGTTGCGAGCGCCGTGAAACATTGACCAAATAAAAAAACTAAATAAATAAACACAGGCATTCATAGTTATTATTCTAATATCATTTTAAAATTATTATTTTATGTTCTGAACGCATCAACATGCAAGTATAAATCTTAAAAGACTGGCTCATATGAGGGGCTGAATCACTCGAAGCATCAACACAAAATGTGAGGCAACGTGGTGGAATCAGGCTCTCGTCAATTTTTGGGCATGTAGAGTTATTGGTATCGTCTTAAAGCTTGTTCACTTGTCTTTTTTTCAATGAAAAAAATATCCATTTATCTTGAATACAAGTCGAGACATTTGCGACAGAAGGATGTGGGGGTCACCTGTTTCAGAGGTAAAATTAGTGAGAGAATGGCTGCCAAAGATTAGTTATTTCCTTAGTTTACGAGTCCGTGGTAACTGAAAATTTACATTTTGTGCCCCTTTAATTAACATTTTTCAGAAAAATCCACACAGAAATGAGTTCTTTAATGGGCATGAAAGGTGTTGGGCCAAAAAAAAAATTGATACAAATTCACAAACTTGGGGAAAAATGCGCGTTTCTTCACTTTGTTTATTTTGACGATAGCCTGATTCCACCACGCTGCCTCACAAATAGACCATCTAGGAGATGGGCTGCTTCAATCCTACATGTCAGATTGACCCCCGACAGATTGAATACGATATCCCAGCCGAAAGAAGACGCAGTGCCTTTTTTGGAGTTCAATTCCAAGTGAGCAGAATTTTGTATCGAGAATTCAATCTTTCTGTTGGGATGTTGTACTTGTATTCTCGCAGTCCATGTTGGCTGGCCCTGACAAACAGGGTTGAAGTCTGCCTTCTAAATGATCTAAATTGTACTGATGGGTTGGTAAAAACATGTAAATGTATTTTTAGTTTAGTTTTAGTAGAGGTTTTATGGCGCTCGCAACTGCATAATATAAGGTCATATGAGCACCAGAAGATCAGAGGTGTCACAATAGAGTAACAAACATAAAAAAGAAGAAGGGGAGATAAGGACGATAGATGTTTGATAGGAAAGAAGAAGCAAACCACACCAGAGCATCCGCCAACCATCCACGTAAATGTATTATAATAAATAAATAAATAAATGTGTTACGATGTGGTGGAATTTGGCGCTTGTCAATTTTAAGACACGTGGAGTTAATTGGTATCATTTTACAGCTTGTTCATTTGTCTTGCTTTAGGTGAAAAAAATACTAATCTATCATATGCAGAAGTTGAGATATTTGTGATTAAAAAGAAGGTAGGGGTCCCCGGGTTTCAGAGGTAAAATTAGCGAGAAAATGGCAGCCAAAGTATGGAGACTTTCAAAGCTTGAGAGTCTTTAGAAACTGCAAATTTACATGTTTGTGTCTTAAATCAATATTTTCCAGTAAAATGCACACAGAAATGTGCTTTTGAATTTACTTTAAAGGTGCTGAGTCAAATTTAAAAATTCAATAAAAATTGCCTAACAGACAGAAAAACCTGTTCCTTCGATTTCATTATTTTGACGATCGCTTGATTTCACCAGTACGCAAATAATAAATGTAAAAAAATTAATTAATTAATTTTTTTTAAATTAAAGTTTCTCGATCTACTTTGTAAACACGCTACACCACAAATATCACACTACTTGTCAGGCTTTTCTCCTGTGTGAGTTCTTTTGTGACGCTTCAGATGATGAACTTGTGAAAACGCAGCCGTGCAGACTTCACACGCATATGGCTTTTCCCCTCGGTGCGTTAGCTCATGGCGCTTCAAGTGGCCTTTCACAGCAAACGTTGCACCGCAATCTTCACACTTGAACGGTCTTTCCCCGGTGTGTGTTCGTTTGTGCACCTTCAGGTAGCCTTGCCGCGTAAAATGTTCACCGCAAACCTCACACATGTACGGTTTTTCACCCGTGTGTGTTTTTTCATGATTATTTAGGTGACTTTTCCGGGCAAATGCTACACCACAAACCTTACACTTGAACGCCTCTTCCCCTGTATGCGCTCGACGGTGAATCTTCAGGCCGTTATTGTTCACAAAACTGTCACCACAAACCTCACAACTATAAGGCTTTTCCCCGGAGTGCGTTCGTTTGTGTGTCTTTAGGTTACCCAGGAGTGAAAATGCCGCATTACAAACGTCACACTTGTAAGGTTTTTCCCCTGAGTGGGTTCTTTCGTGACCCTTTAGGCTGCTGCTGTGTGCAAACGCTGCTCCACAAGTATCGCAACTGTAAGGTTTTTCCCCCGAATGCGTTCTTTTGTGAGTTTTGAGGCCATGGCTGAATGCAAACGCTACACCACATATATCACATTTGTGAGGTTTTTCTCCAGAGTGTTTTCTTTTATGAATTTTTAGCCGGCCAATATTAGCAAAATCTGCACCACAAACGTCGCACTTGTTAAGTTTTTCTCCCCTATCATGTGTTCTTTTGTGATTTTTAAGGGTGCCACTTTGTGCAAATGCCGCACCACAAAGTTCACACGTGTAAGGTTTTTCTCTTGTGTGTGTCTTTTTGTGATTTTTCAGGTGGTAAGAGAGTGCAAAAGCAGCACCACAAGCATCACACGTGTGAGGCTTTTCTCCAGTGTGTGTTCTTTCGTGATGCTTTAAGCTGGCCCTGTGAGCAAACGTTGCATAACACACTACACACGTGTAAGGCTTTTCTCCTGAGCTTATCTTTATGTTCCTCTTTAGGTCAGCACTACAGACAGTGTTTATCAGTTCACCGTCCACATTTCTTTGATGGATCCCTCCTTGTTCTGCCGCAAAATAGGAATCAGGTGTATCGTCACATCCTCTCAGCTCCCCGACATCTGCTCCTGTTGTTGGGTGACCGGTGGTCAGTTGACTGTTACAGTCGGAGGAGTGACCTGAAGGAAGTCAAACAATACATAAGTTATATTATATAACAATAACAGGAAGAAGAAGAATAAAGAAGAAAAAGAAGAAGAAGAATCTCAACTCCCCGACATCTGCTCCTGTTGTTGGGTGACCGGTGGTCAGTTGACTGTTACAGTCGGAGGAGTGACCTGAAGGAAGTCAAACAATACATAAGTTATATTATATAACAATAACAGGAAGAAGAAGAATAAAGAAGAAGACGAAGAAGAAGAAGAAGAAGAAGAAGAAGAAAAAGAAGAAAAAGAAGAAGAAGAAGAAGAAGAAGAAGAAGAAGAAGAAGAAGAAGAAGAAGAAGAAGAAGAAGAAGAAGAAGAAGAAGAAGAAGAAGAAGAAGAAGAAGAAGAAGAAAAAGTTCAAGAGGAAGAAGAAGATCAATATTAAGGATAGATAATAATAATAATAATCATAATAATAATTATAATAATAAAAATAATAATCTATAATAATAAAACTATAAGAATGGTTTTACGCCCCCCAAAACACAATTTAAATTATAAATTTATAAATTATGAATTAGCACTGTATAAAATCTAAATGCATGAGGATTTCCAAACAAACTTTTCACATAAAAATGAAACTTGGCCTTATAAATGTTATACTTTGCACCTTTGATTATCCTGGTTCTCCTTTCCTTTTTTGTCTAACAATAGAGCTCACAGTTTTGCCTTTGCAATAAAACTTCTTTTGGTCCACAAGGGCTTTAAATTAATTCAACAACAACTTATACTGATATATTTTTATAGTGTGTCAGTATACTCAACAGTTTACTTTTTCTTAGTGGCAAAACTGAATTGGCCTTCATATAGTTCAAACACCTGGCCAACCCAAGGGACTCTTGTCTCACAATAAATTTGATATCCCCAGTTTACAGTAAAGACTCTGACCAGTAAACACATATTCTTCTTGTGTGAACATAAGCCCCATGATACAAATTTTAAACAGCAATCTATTCTCAAATTGTTGTGATTTCACGTACTTTCATTCTGATCCCAGATGCCCATGGGTGCAGATCTAGAATTAGAGACACTGCAGTCCAGAAGAAGAGCTTGATCTGCAGACAAAGTTGATGCTGAACTGCTGGCAGCAACAACAACATTAGGCTGTGGGTCTGAATCCGGCTCCAAACACAAACTCCTCACGTTGGAGATTCGCAGTTGTAGTCCTCCAACAGGACTGGTGCTGTCCTCGATAAATGTTGGCTCAGAACACATTATCTCCTCCTCCTCCCCATCTTTTATTTGTCCTTCTTTCTTTCCAACCTCAGCTGTGAAATGAGGACCACCCCATTCTGACCCCTCCTGTTTCACAAAACTCTCCACTTTTGGTTTCACATTATCATCACCGACATCCCCGAAATATCCACACCGAGTTTCCGTTTTCACAACATCGGTACAACACTCTTGTTTTAAAACAGGCGATATCTCTTCATCATCATCATCATCATCATCATCCAAACAGATAGGCTCATCTTTTACGACCACAACGCATCCACTTTCAGCTGTTGATTCAACATTTTGAAAATTCCCCCTGACCAGTGCATTACAAGCTGATTCAGTACAGTGTTCTTCTTTAATAAAGGGTTCCATTTTAATGGTAGCGTGATTTTGAGGAAACATGGAAAGGCTTTTTTCTTTTGCCTCATCATTTTCCTCACTATGCAGTCCAGGTTTTATGTCTTCCGCAGAGGTACACGGATATCCAGAGCTAGGTTTACGTTCTTCAAGAGCAATGTTGACATCAGGTTCCATGCCGACCGACTACAGAGGGTTAGGCATAAAGGACAAATAAATCATAAGTCTTCACAAAGCTATGAAGGAAAATATCTACAGCACTTGCAACACAATATTAGATCAGAAAGTGCTGATGATAGGTCTGGTGGTGTTATTTAGAAAGTACCATTATAACGTACAAAGAAAACAAGGAAGAGAGATTTAGTGTGATTGCAAAAATTATACACACTTTCTAATGATTACCAATGCCACCCCAAAGGCAGCCTCTATACATGTATTAAGGTTTCTAGAGAGAGAGAGCCCTCCTATTCATTCACGTATCGCCGCCAAATCCTCAAATTATCACAGCAAGGCCACTGGCCAAAACTTCGAGATTCAACACTGGGTCAATGTGAAGACTAAGGGTATCATGTAATAAAGTGTCAGTCGTTTGATTGCTGAATGAACTCTAGTGAAGTTGTAATTGTCTGTACAAAGAGGTTTAGATTTATCTAGATCTAGAGGTCTGAATAGATCTTGTTTCTGTTGTCAACATCAACAGTCACTCTCTCTTGTCTCTTGTCTTGTAACTTTTTGTTTGGTTGGGCTGGAAGACCAATCGGATGCGAGAGGTGTTTACAACAGTTGTAGCAGTATATAAATAGATAGGCCTCGTGAGGCATTTCTCTCTTTCACTTTCAATGGGTCATACTAATAAGATCATATTAATAAGATTATTTTAATTTTTTTAAAAAGTTACATGTAGGTACAAAATGTATCCGAAAAGTAACAAAATATTGAAGAAAATGATGTATGATTTTATGGCGGATAGTGGTTGGTTGGTGGGTGCTGTGGTGTGGTCTACCCTCTCCTTCTTTCCAATCAAGGATTAAAATTTATCAATTTGTATGTGGTTCTTATCTCTCCTCCTTCCTTGTTGGGTTCGTTTCTCTCTTGTAACATCTCTAATTTTCGGCACTTTCAATACCTTATTGCGTTGCACGGGCCGTAAGGCCCACAAAAACAAGAAAAAAAAATTGTCAGATAAGCACCCTGAATGTCTTCTGCAGACAGAACGTAATTAGGAGTGTCGGGACAAATCTCACAGGGTTTTGTCTATTCAGAATGACACTTAAAATTACTTTAAGGGGGTGTAGCTATGGTCAACACCCAAATGCTATAGTTTTTGGTCTAAAGCTTGCTTTTCTGCATCAAAG